CAGAGAGGAAGGGAGAGGGATAGAGAGTTAGAAACATTGATGAGAGAAACATCCATCAGCTGCCTCCTGCACACCCCCAACTGGGGATGTGCCTGCAACCAAGGTACATGCCTTTCACTGGAATCGAACCTGGGACCTTTCAGTCCACAGGCCGACGCTCTATCCACTGAGCCAAACCGGCCAGGGCCAAGGAGTCATTTTAATGTAAAGGATGAGGTATCAATATGTTGATGTTTCTAAAATCAGGCTCAGTTTAAAGCTGAAGAAGAAGATATCTAATTTACTAAATCATAAGATGAAAATGTGCATCATTTTTTGTGTTTCATTATATCTTAGCTTCTTGCAGCATGATACTTTTGTAGTAGGTTAAAGTAAATGATATACTAGTATATCTTGAAAATTTGTGTAAGAAACGATGACAGTAATTAGTAAAGTTTTATACTAGAAACTAAAGTTTGTTTCTAGTATAAAACTAGAAATGTGCATGTGCATGAAATTCATGCACATTAAAAGGGAATTAATTTGAGGAAATATTTTAATATTGCAATTTGCCCTTTATAATAGAAGTGTCAGAGATGAAAGAAAATTAGTAAAATGTATATGAAAATCTCCCTCCTGTCAGAGTCTGGGGCGTGCTGTGGGACCCAGAGTCAAGTCCCCACCCACCCGTGTGTGCCTCGAAATCGCAGGAGACCCAGACCTGGCCAGCCCCACCCCCATCAAGCCCTGCCAGGTGGGGGGCCCTGCCTCAGGTCCCCCAGCCCTGACGCCGGGGTGGGGTGGCACAGTTTCAGGTCCCCCCCGCCCTGGCGGGGAGCATGGCCTCAAGTCCCCCGGCCTGGTGTGAGGGCATGACAACCATTTGCATATTAGCTCTTCATTATATGGGATAGTTGGGTCAGTAATAAGAGCACTTGAATGGGAATGAAGAGATCTGAGGTCTGCCACTTACCTTCTCTGTGTTGTTACAGTCCCCTAACTACAATATTTCCTATTATGAAGTGAGAAAGTTGGACTACATGATCACTAAGATAATTCCTAGTGGATGTTGAAACTAGTCTTGATTATCTTGTTCATAGAAGAGCTTTGAAAAGAATCAGGGAACAGGTCTATTTTACCTTGTAATGAAATTTTGAGATATGAAAAGTTAATAAATAACCCTTTCTTTTCTCAGAAGGATTTGATTATAATGAAAAAGAACGGTATGACTGTAAAGGGGGTGACCTGTTTGGAAATCAACGAAGGTTTCCTGGACACCTTTTTTGGGACTTTCAGGTATGACTATTAGAACAATAAGATATTTTAACTATTTTATTAGAGCAATGGAGGATACATAAAGAATGGCATGAACTTTTATTATAGCTGTATCTTTCAGCACACACAACTCATTTATTAATGTCCTATTACCACCATTTCAAAAAATAATTTGAAACAATTTTTACTTAAGCCAAGTAAAATAAAAAAAACAAAAAACATGTTAACACTATTTAAGAAAAAGAAAACAAAAAACTGGTAGCACAGCCAATAGTGCGGAATATGTGAGGATATCAAGAAACTTTTATTTCTAATTGTTTTAACAACATTTATACAATTTAAATTCATTGTAAATGAATTAAAAAGGAAATGCTTAAAAAGGAAATTGTAATTATATCATTTCAACAGATAAACATCCTAGGTGAAAAGGATGATACACCAGTTCATTTCTGTGACAAATGTGGATTGCCTATTAAGATCTATGGGCGAATGGTAAGTATAATTAAATTGAATTCTATTTTATAAATGTGAACATTTTTGTAGAGGTAAGATTCTGAAATATAAGTAGATAGGTTTTTCACTATTTAATGACTTAAGTTTGTGACATTTAAAATAAATGTGAGGTTCTGGCTGGGTAGCTCAGTTGGTTAGAGTGTTGTCCTGATATGTCAAGGTTGTGGGTTTGATACCCAGTCGGGTCAGGGCGCATACAAGAAACAACCAATGAATGCATGAATAAGTGGAACAACAAATCGATATTTTTCTCTCTCTTCCTCCCCCTCCTCTCTTCCCTCTCCCCCTCCCCAACTCCCCCTCCCACTACCTCTCTTTCTTTTCCTTACTCTCTAAAATCAATAAAATAAAATAATTTTTAAAAAAGTGAAATAGCTAAGGGAAATTTTGGGATAATAATGCATTTTAATATACTCTTCCTGACAAACTCTAGAATTGCTTGTAAGTACTAATTAAGGGAACTAACTACTGAAAATGAAATAATTTCTTTAGACTGTTTGATACCTGTTAGTTTATATTTATTCTGTTTATTAAGGAAAAATGCTTTTTTTTCTTATTTGATACAATGAAATCAGTTACTCATTTCGGAAGGCTGTAATTTTTAATGTAAAACTGAATCAATTATATTTTTATTTTTGAGAATTTAATAATTAAAATAAGTTATAACCCCGACTGTAATTTTATAGTATTTTTGACATATTCTCCTTTTTAAAAAGGTAGTTTTACATTTGTGTTTGGGAAAAAAAATTGAATTCAATAATATATTTGTGATGGTAGAGAGCATTGATTGTGCACTGTTGCTTTGCTGTATGACATAGCTAAATAACCGTAATGGGCTGTGCATTTTAAAATGGTCTAACATCATTTTTCTACATCCTGATTTATTTTTAGATTTTTATAAATTTATTACAGTAAGGCTAACTGGGAAAACTGCTACTTATGTTAAATGTAGGAGATATTCGTTATCTTAGTGCTTTGGAATAATTTCAAGAGGAACAGGATAAGGTAAAACATGATTACAACATTACTTTTCAGGAGCTTTTAACCCATAGGGACCATGATGAAATTCATAGGGTTTATACCTTCAGGAAGTATAAGTGAATGTGCATGTATACATTTATTGGGCCAGAGTTTTCATCTCATCCTCAAAGGACTTGTGACTGAAAAAGGCTATTGTTTTTATATAATTAGTACTTAATAAATGCTCACTTTAACAAACAGTTCTCAAGTGTCTATGTCTAGGTTACTATTCTTACTGTTATTTTTAAAAATATTTTAATTTGTTCTAAAATGTGTCACTATATTTCTGTTTACAGATTCCATGCAAGCATGTTTTTTGCTATGACTGTGCTATTTTACATGAAAAAAAGGGAGATAAGATGTGTCCAGGGTAAGATCATCATTACATTTTTAAATAATAAACCTTGTGCTGTAAATTTATCATCTTGATTAAAGGTCAGTGGCAGGATATCAGATGGCTCCTCTATCTCTTTGAGCCCGGAGTTGCCTTAGCCTTCTCCTTAGCATAGGGCTAGGTAGCTGTTATCAGTTAATTCAGATTGGCCAAAATGACAGAATATATTTGTCATCACAAAATGTGTTATAAGCCAAAAATAGTTATTTTATTGTTTTGATGGGACACTAGAGGTAGTATTGCATAGTAGCAATTGAGAGTAGCAAAGACTTTGGAATTAGAATTCTTGGGTTCAAATTCATTTTCTGCCGTTTGTTAGTTATGTGATATAGACTGTTTCTTTATCTATAAAATGGAGCTAATAATAGCACCTACATCCTTGGATTATTATTAGAATTAAGTGAGTATATATGGTACCTAGCACATAGTAAGTACATATGTAAGTATAGCTCTTACTTATTACCTTCAAATCTGATTATTATGTCTTGAGTGTACCTTAGAACACCATCATGACATAGATTCAGATCTAAGTTATAAACAGCTAGAGGTATTGGTTCATACTGATCTATGAATGGTTTATACTGGAATGGCATTGAAAGATCCAGATTAAATTAGGAATTTGATATTAATATGGAATCCCTGATAGAAGGCTTGAGGAATTGAGGAAAGCTTTGAGAGGAACTTCCTTGTCCTAGATTCCTTCTAAATGTGTTAGAAGCTGTCCCAAGAGTTATACTTTTTTTTGGTTGAAGGAAAGCCCTAGACAGTTGTAAGGGATGATTTCCTTTTAAGATGTAGGCAGTTTGGCATCACTGAGAGAGAAAGGATGATTCAATGACAAGTCATTAAAACTGATTTTCTTGGCATATTTCTATTAGCTCTTTAAAGTCACAGATTGCAAAACCTGTAGTATGAGTGTAAAGAATATTTCTTCCCTAGAATTATAATTCAGAAGAATTATACAATGAAAAGTGCATAATGTAACTCCAGTAAGCACCTCACCGGTTGGCCCTTAGCTACTTAGAACATAAGCCTATCTAGATGAACAGGCACAGATCTGAGAAGTGTGTCTGAAGACCATTAAATGGAAGCTTATTAGTATCAAGGAGTGCTAGCCTTACAGCAAGTATGGAAATAATAGACTCAACTCAAAAATCAAGAATATAAAACCACGTAATAGAATGTCAAATTACCTGGCATACATATTCAATAATAGCTTATAGTTATATAGTGTTCAATGATTAAGTACTGTCATTTTCATTGTTCCATTGATCTTAAGGATATTTCAGATGAAGTAGATATAAAAACATTGAGTTAGGTAGAATAGATGCTTTAACCCATTTTATAGATGAAGAAATGGACATTAAATGACTTCTCCAAAACCACAGAGCCAGTGCTAGATCCCAACTCTTCTGATTCCTAGTTTAGTCCTCTCTCCACTGTTTCAGAGGACTCTAAGGCAAGAGTGGGTTAAATATAGAAAATGAAGAATAGTTATAATTTTGACCCCGAGTTGTTAAAATACTGAGTTTAAATTACAATTTAGAAAGTGCTTACAATTTAGAAAGGCAGGAGTATGCAATAACTCTTTAGTAGTAAATTTGACTGACCATCCAGAAAGATCTCTTCCTTAAGACACTTGATGGCCAGGGTTTGAATTTAAATTTTGTGTTGATTAATGTTAAGAACCCTGATAATTAAGATGATCTTACTTGTTTTTGTAGTCCTTGCAGCATCTTCCACTTAGTGTCTTCCACTTAGTATTATTTCCTCAGCAAATGCTTGTTGCTCAGTAAATATGGTACACGTTTGAGTCCATGATTATGGCATTTGGTTTGCGTCCCCCTTTTTTTGTAAGTGGATAGAAAGCATAGACATGTTAGAGAAAATCAGATAAATTCTAGGTCTTGGGCAGAATAAGGTCTTTTCTTAAAACATATTCTATTTGATACACGTTCAGTTTTTTCTTGTATTGAGAGTTCTGAAGTTGATAGAAATGCTGATGCTTAATAGTGAATAAAAAACAAAGTGGGAAAGGTTAAAAGTTTACTTACAGTATAATTTTTAATTGTGAACTTCTGCAAATTTCCCATAAATTAAAAAATAAGCATATCTTTGAAATTAAGTGCATTATTTTTAAAGTCCTTTAGTAAATCAGTTTTTTTTCTTCTTCTCATTTAGATGTAGTGATCCTGTGCAGCGAATTGAGCAGTGTACACGTGGTTCTCTCTTCATGTGTAGCATTGTTCAAGGGTGCAAGAGAACGTATTTGTCTCAGAGAGACTTACAGGCTCATATCAACCACCGCCATATGAGAGCTGGGAAACCTGTGACCCGAGCTTCACTTGAAAATGTCCATCCTCCTATTGCCCCACCGCCAGCTGAGATCCCTGATCGATTTATAATGCCGCCAGACAAGCACCATAGCATGAGCCATATCCCGCCAAAGCAGCACATCATGATGCCACCGCCTCCTTTGCAGCATGTTTCACATGAGCACTATAATCAGCCACATGAGGATATCCGTGCACCGCCAGCAGAATTGCCCATGGCTCCACCTCCACCTCGCTCGGTCAGTCAGGAAACCTTTCGTATTTCAACAAGAAAACACAGCAATTTAATAACTGTCCCTATTCAGGATGACTCAAGTTCAGGTGCTAGAGAACCACCACCTCCTGCCCCAGCACCTGCTCACCATCATCCTGAATATCAGGGTCAACCAGTGGTATCGCACCCTCATCATATTATGCCTCCACAGCAACATTATGCACCACCCCCACCTCCTCCACCACCAATAAGCCATCCAATGCCACATCCTCCCCAGGCTGCAGGCACTCCTCACTTGGTTTATAGCCAAGCTCCTCCTCCTCCAATGACCTCTGCTCCACCACCAATAACCCCTCCCCCTGGACATATCATTGCCCAGATGCCACCTTATATGAATCATCCTCCTCCAGGACCTCCCCCACCTCAACATGGTGGTCCACCTGTTACTGCACCCCCTCCTCATCATTATAATCCTAACTCTTTACCCCAGTTCACTGAAGATCAAGGAACTCTGAGCCCACCATTTACACAACCAGGGGGAATGAGTCCTGGTATATGGCCTGCACCAAGAGGGCCACCACCTCCTCCACGAATGCAGGGTCCACCTTCTCAAACCCCACTTCCTGGACCACATCATCCAGATCAGACAAGATATAGACCATATTATCAATGATAAGAGTATTTTGAACTGAAGATATGAAAAAAACTTACGTGTAGTCAATCTTTTAATTAAGCTTTGACTGTTCTGGGAAGGAAAACACCTCTTATTGAGGTGGCTATGAAACACTTAGGGTCTTATCTCTTAAAATGGTTTTAAATCTTCATCTTAGGATTGATTCAAATACTATACTGTAGTGCAGATAAGTGGCTCAGTGGAGCACAGCTATATTTTAACAACTTTGTTCCCCTAGTGTGGTATATTGACCCACAGGTGACCATTTGTAAAAAAAATTGAAAATTTTTATTCCACTTTGAAAGGTGTTGCTTTTGTTAAACCCAGTTTCGTTTTTCTTGTGATACATTTTGTTAACCTGTGTAAAAGGATTAAATTTCAATATGGTTGTAAAAATGCTATTTTTATGTGAATTTAAGTGCAACCACATACTGTTTTTTAAAACCATATGTTTTACCACTAATTTCCCAAGTTACAATAAAATCCTAAAAGTAAAAATCTACTAGAATTTACTGTAAGGCAGACTGTTAAATGACAGAGAATTACTTCACAATTTAGGCACTGAAATTTTGAGGTATATTAAGTATATAATGCACTTCACTTGGATGCCTTTTCGTTTTAGGCAATTCAGGGGCACCAAAATATGTTGAAATTCCGGAGATATATTTATGTTTGAAATATTAAAGGCATTACTACTTATTTGGAAAGATATGGCCAAAGTGACTACAGTTTCCAAACTGTTAGGGGATGCTGTTATTCATTAATGCTTTTTACTGAGTGGTTGGAATCACATAATTCATCACACTTTTTAATCTTAAGTAACTATATAACTGTCTAAATGGTCTTTAGATGAAGGGTGTTTTACTCTGCTCATTGTCTTTAAATATTTAGGGTTGAATAGGCTTTATGTAATTCCTCAGTTCATGATAGAGTTTGATCCTATGCTTAAATGTGGTCTTGTTTATTGGGGTTTAAATCACAATTTGAATGCCATGGAGGAATTTGAATACTGTATTACTGAAGGAAATTCTTGTAGTCACAAACTTGCATTGCTCAGGTTTCAGTACTGTGTGATAAGGTTTCTTTCTCTAACTTGAAATTTAAAAACTATTAATGATTTTCTTTTTCTTTTATTGGTTAAGTGATCTAAAACTTGGGATATTTTAGCATGGAGTCAACATGAAGACTACCAGATGATTTTGTATTGGAGAAAAATAATAACTAAATTGTGAATTTCAGTGCTTTATAAGGTGCCTTTAGAGTCAGCCTTTGCATTGTAGGGGCTTGTTATAGTCCAGCTAAGATAACCACTCAGTTTCTACAGAACTCATGTACACTTCATTATTCTTAGGATGTATTATTATATGTCCTATGAGTAAACCCCTGTGAAGTATTCCCTTCCCCCTAAAATGGTGCATAATATAAACATGAAATATGTAGTGTGCAGATACCATTTATTGAATAGTTTGTAGTGTATACATTTAGAACATTTCTTTTTGACAAAGGGTGAACTAGTTGCTATTTACCACTTAATTCAGTCAGGTACAGGCTAAACAGTTTCTCATTTTGGATAATCAGATGCAAAGTCATCTATGAACTTAAGAGTTGAAGTTAGAAATAATACAAATGGCCATTTCAACCATGACCAGTCGAAAATAACGAATACACTTTCTTTTAACTGACTTTCCACACCTATCAATTAGAGAGTCCAAGTTAATGTGATATTTCTAGTGAGAAAATTTTGTTACTAGAGGCATGGGAGTGAAATAGTGTGAAAAGGTGGTGGGAAGTACTTCTGTCATATTACTGTAGGTACTTGGACTGGTGCAAACTTGATACCCTTTCAAGCCTCTATTTAGTAGCCGTTAAAAATCCTATATTTGTTTCATGTAATAAGAAAATATCCAAATTTTTTGAGAATAATCTCAATTATTTATGAAGAACTCTTCTGTTTTTATTGAAATTCGCTAGAGTTGAATGTGGTTATGAAACCAATTAGCCTATGTATTGGACAAAAAAATTAGTATCATGATAAAAGTTCACATGTTAAGAATTCTCATAGACGTTTAAAAGTGATTATTTTCAGTTAGATTTAAGAAATAAGTTATGCAGGGAGGCAGATCAGATGAATGTGTCGTAGCAGACAAATTTTAAATGTGTTAGACTTGAATTCATCCAGTTATTGTTTGAACGGGTGGGTGGGGGGGGGACGCTGTAGTAGAAGGATAACAAAATTACTGTTAGTGTTTCTTTCCTTAAAAAAGATGTGAATTCCAGCTTTATTTCAGGGAAGCCTTTGAAACTATAATGGACATAGTTCTAAATTAAATGTATGTATGTTTCATTATATTGCTCTTAAGACTACTGAGGTGGCAGTTTAATTCTTAAAAACAATAAAATGGAAGCATAAATACTATTTTGCCTAAATGAGTTTTTACCTAATAATGACACATTTGGGAAAATGCAGAATTTTTCATCTTTTCATTGATAAACTTTTATAGTAAAATTAGATTCGCTTTTAGAGATCCAAACCAGCAAGTTGAATCGTGAATTTCTTCAGTGGCATGTTTGTTCAGAATATTATATAGTATTTGGAGAAGTAGTTGCAAAGGCCATAAAAAAAGAGACTCTATTTTTCCCTGTAAAAACCACTGACTCAAAATTATTGTGTAAATACTAACTAGGTAACACTGAAATATAAATGGAAAAGATACTTGCACATAATTTTAAACTCATGTAGGGAACTTACCATGTGAAGTATAGTATACAGAGCTGCTTTAGGCTTTGTACTAGACGAGTGTCTTTCATACACCTTTTTGGAAAAGCTCTGTAGTCCTATCATGAAAACTTTTGTGAAAGTCCTGTAAATACATGGAAAAAACTCACAAATATCTAAAACAAAGTATGCATTCTAATTATTAGTTAAGCCATCAAATTGATATATTGATGTCGAAGTGTGATCACATTCAAACATTTTCTGAAGTGGATGAATTTTTTACTGTTTTAAGAATGATCTCTTGTGGCCTTGAAACCAAGCAGAATTTACTTATTGCAATTTATGCACAATCTAATAAAGCATTATTGGATATTTTAGACTTAAGGGGAGAGGGGGGCTAAGCCAGTTAAAATACTTGGTAGTGATACTAATAAAAACATTTGGATTTTGTTTTGATTTATGCTCCTTTTAATTTCCCAGCATTGAGGGAAAAGTTGTTAAAGTAGAATTCTTAAAGGAATAATTTAGTGTTAAAGTTTTGTCCTCGCTTTAAGAATTTTTAGGCATTATAGGATCAGGATTGAAGTAAACAGTGATAGGTCATGGGTTTAGCTCTCACAATTGGACAGGACCATGTCTTTTTAAAAATCTAGTGTTTTGAAATGTTAATCTATTACCCCAGAATATCCCATTTCTATTCTAAGTAGTAGTAGGCACCAAGTCTCCTACTGCATTTAAGTCCATTTCTTATTAATCTATTTAAAAATTGTTCTTCCTTTGCCTTCAGATGAAAAATCCTGCTCTCTTTTGATGTTACTTTCAAAACCTTTAATTGTTTGTTTTAAAATTTGTACTCATTTCACCCTAGCTGTTTTAGTTTTGGATAGAGCATCGGCCTGCAGACTGGATAATCAGATGCAAAGTCATCTATGAAGGGTCCTGGGTTTGATTCCAGTCTAGGGCACATGCCTGGGTTGCAGGTTTGATCCCCAGTAAGGGCCGCACAGGAGGCAACTGATCAATGATTCTCCTCATTGATGTTTCTATCTCCCTCTTCCTTCCTCTCTGAGATCAATAAAAATATATTTTAAAAAATAAAAGTATTTCGTCTTTTGTTGAGAAAAGATGAGGGAGACAAAGAGGTCAGTCAAAAGTTTGCTTTAAAAATTTACACAAGACTAGCATTTAGGTATCAAGAAGTGGGTGACCGGTGGAAGGATGTATATGTATACATACAGATGTGTGTATATATATATATATAAAAGCCCAATGCACTGTTATGACCAGTTGACTGGAACATTGCTATAACACACTGGTTGCTATGACACACACTGACCACCAGGGGGCAGAAGCTCAGCACAGGAGCTGACCCCTGGTGGTCAGTGTGCTTCCACAGCAGGAGCGCTGCTCAGAAGCTGGGCTCATGGCTGTTGAGTGCAGCTGGGCGGCAAGAGCCTCTTCCATCTCCGCAGCAGTGCTACTCAGCGACAGCAGCAGCAGGTGGCGGTGGCAGGTGCAGCGGGGAGCAGGAGTGGCGGGGTGCCCAGCCCCCTGGCTCAGGCTTCTCCCCAGCTGCCTGCCACTTTGGCACTGCTACATCTCTCGGGGATCAGACCAAAACCAGCAGTCTGACATCCCCCGAGGGGTCCTGGATTGCAAGAGGCTGCAGTATATATATGTGAATTGTATAAATACATAAGAAAATATGTGAAATGTAAATTATGTATATACTAGAGGCCCAGTGCACGAATTTGTGCATGGGTGGGGTCCCTTGGCCTGGCCGGCAAACGGGGCTGATCAGGCCATCTAGCTCAGCCCTGATAGGGCTGCTGGCCAGGGGTTGGGGGAAGGAACGACCGTGGGAGGTTGGCTGGCTGCGAGAGGTTGACTGTGGGAGCGCACTAACCACCAGGGGGCAGCTCCTGCATTGAGTGTCTGCCCCCTGGTGGTCAGTGTGTGTCATAGCGACCAGCCGGTTGTCTGGTCATCTGGTCATAACAGTCACTTAGGCTTTTATATATATATAGAAGATGGTAGACATGGATATATAATGAACAAAATAGGTGTAGTCCTTGCTCTTTAGGAGCTTACATTCTAACTTATCTAGGAATTATTTGTGGTAGTCATCCCTAAATTTTCTTTAAAAATTTTTATATTCTCTTTCAAAGTATGCTAGCCAGGAAAAAATATTTTTAAAATGTATTACCAACACACACACTAATGAGAGGAAATTATTAATTCTGGGCATTAATATGTTTCCTAATGGCTTTTCTGGGTACACTTACTTGTACAATGCTAAATTAGTGACTTTGGAACAAATCTGTAGAATGCACCTATATTGTTCCTGGGTTTAGTCCTGCCTTGTACTAGGTCAGCTTTAGTCAGATTTTAATTTCTTTTTCTTTTTTAGACAGGTTTTAATTTCTTTTGGGAGGTAATGTTTCTAATGGTTCAGAGCCTGGGCTCTGGAGTCGGACTGTTTAGACCAGGGGTGGGCAGACTTTTTGACTCGAGGGCCACAATGGGTTCTTAAAGGTGGGGCCAGTAGAATTTCCTGACAGAATTCTTAGCCTGAGCATCTGGAAAGATGGATTTGGCACTAACAGGTGGAAAAGGCACTGGCAGGGCAGATTAGGGGAGAAGAGCATAGGTCACTTTTGACATGTAGACGTCCAGATGAAGATGGCAGAAAAGTGAATGAAATATTCCACTTTTCTGTTCTCGTTTATGCAGCGTAAAGTCAGGCTTGCATTTAAAACATGTCTGTGGTAAGTTACTGTGCTTAAGGTATCAAATGCTTAAATTATTAGAAAATGATATTTTTAAAGTGTTATTTTCCACTTTAATTCATGTTATTTTTTATTTTCATATGTTCAGCAAATAAAATGTACATAAATTCGCAGTTAAAATATTTAGAGAAAATGACTTTAAAGATAAACTGCTTAACATGTATTAGCTTCAAGCTTCCTTAATTTCAGTACTGTGTCTGTCTCTTCACAAGCTTTTCTGTCTCCAAGTTGAATTACTGGATCTCCTCTCCCCTTCCATCTTGCTCTGGGTTATGTACGTTTCATTTTTCATCTTTCAACATGGTCTCTTGGCCTCTTCCTAAATCAGGGATCAGATTTTTGGACTAGTCAAAAATGTTTCCCCCGAGTATTTGTTCTGAGCCAGGCAAATAGAGGCTCAGTCCCATGTATTTCCATTACTCAGTGCATATCCATCTTAGAGGCCTCACACAAAAAGACATGTAAGGGTGAGGATAAGCGAATGTTGTTAAGGTTGAATGGCCTGTGATGGGAGCATGCTAGTGGGCGTGCTTGCTCCAGCTCTACCGTATGATATTTTATTTGGCAATAAGAGTACAGAGAGCACCTTTGCTTGAGAAGATGCAGGCATCAGTGACAGTCCCATATAAATAAGGCTTTTGCCCCATTCCCAAGCCAGATGATCAAGTAAATAGGCCCATGTTTTTATTTTATTCCTGCCTTTATAAGAAAGCTCTTAGCCTGAGATTCATTGGGCATCATATATAAACACATATGTGTATGCATATCTTTTTTCCTAAAGCCCGAAGGGTGAATGAGGCTCTGCTGTCCATGACCCAAAATTTAAGAAACGTTGTTATAAAAAGTGTTGACGTAGTTTTTAAAGAGTAGCTATGTAAATAAACCTTTATTTTTACCTTTCTGTAATTGGTTTTAAAGTCCAATAGACAAGCCCATGCAGTAATGACACTAATAAAGGATGGAAGTTACTTGGAGAGCAAATATTTAAAGGCGAGACCTAAAACAACTGAGACCACATCTCCCATTGACAAAGTGGTTTGCTGTTGAACAGAGGGCACTGCATCTTTTTTCTGTTGGTGCTGATGATTAACTTCTCACTGTTACATAAATACTATTGTTTGCACCAAGAACAGTGCCAGTGAAACAGAGAAGTATGTGTGTGCTGCCTCTCATTCACCAGCTAAACGGAGCTGCAGAGCTGTTATTCTGCCCTGTGAGTTCCAAAAAAATGACCAGCAGTGAAGAGAGAGTCAGACCTTCCTCTGCTATCTTTCCTCCCAGGAAGATCGGGAAGGAGGGGCTACCCATCAAGTCTTCTCTTTCCTTTTTACCTTCTTGCCTTTTAAGTGTTTATCTTCCATTAGCTGACACAATTTTCATATTTAAGAAGTGGGGGGAAAAAAATAAGGATTTGCTTCAAAAGCTAGTTATGAAAAGATTGTGTCTAAATCCGGATAGGAGGCTGGATGCTTTAAAAAGCTACAGTGATGATCATAAAATCTGGACAAAGAAGTCTCATTACAGGGGGGTTAGAAGATTCTCGTGTAGCAAGCTTCCAGCCAGACCACTATAAAGGGACTCGCAACAAGCGTATTTCAGAAAGCAAACAAGAAATTTAATAAAACGACACACCTACTGTACAAATTGATTTTGTTAAGTGGAGCTGTATTAATTATATCCTGTATGAACAGTATAAATTGCAAGATTCAAAGCATTGGTGTCATAAAACATGCATGAAAGTAGTTTGGATAGAAATCTGTCAGTGCTATAAAAATACATATAAACACAATTTCTTCCTTTGATAAAATCTACAAGCTTACAAAATTAAGAGTATTTACATCATTTTATACTACATATGTGAAAAAATATACCAAGCTAGAACAATCTTGTTCCAAAGTTTGAAACATAATT